GAGGCAGTATCACTACGGAAGTAGATTGCCCAACCTTCCTTCCGAGGAGTGGCTGGTGGGTTTGAACTGCCAGTCATCTGGTTAGCAGACAAGTGTCTTAGCCACTATGGTACCAGAGCTCCACTGCACTAGAGCTCCTTAATTACTAATGATAAGATGTAGAAAAAACAAAAAGATGGTTTTAAGTGCAGTTCATAGTAACCCAAATATGTCATAAGCTGGAGATATATATATATACACACACACACACACACACCCATACACACACATATACATACACACGTTCACTGTGAAATTCTTTTTAACTTTTCTGTAAGTTCGAAGTTTTCATAATACGGTGTTGAGGAGAGCCCAGCTTCCTCTCTGTGACCCACAGAGCCTGCACGGTTTGCCCCGTCACCTGCCTACTTCGCTCCCTCCCGTTCTCTGCACTCACTCTGCTCAGGCCTCGCTGGCCCTCTCACAGCCAAGCACCATCCTGCCTCGGGGCCTTTGCACTAGCTGCTCATTCTCTAGAAAGCCCCTCCTGATCCCTTCCCTACCCTCTTCCACACAAACCCAGGTCCTCCTCATCCTTTAGGTCTCAGTCAGGGGGCTTCTCTTGAAAGAGTCCCTCCTGGATCACTGCATTTAAAATTATGCCACCTTGTTTCTACCAGGCCCGTCACATGCTGTTAACTCACCTCTTTATGAATCTGTTCATGTGTCAATGAGCTGCCTTCCTCACTGGGCTATGAGCTCTGTGGGGTCAGGAATGTATCTCCTTTGGTACCTGCTGTGTCCCCAGTGCTCAGCCTGTGCTGTGCAAGTCAACCAGAGAACATCTCTTATCTGAATGGATGGGTGGGGGGATGGGGGGATGGCTGGATGGGGAATGGATAGCTGGATGGATGGATAGTTGGCTGAGTGGATAGATGGATGAATGGGGTGGGGGGATGGGTGGGTAGATGGACAGATGAATGGGTGGTAAGTAGATGGATGAATGGATGGAGTGGACAGATGGATGAATGGGTGAATGGGCGATGAGTAGGTAGATGGATGGATGCATAGGTGGGTGACTAGTTAAATCCACGGGTGGGTGGATGGGTGGGTGGGTGGATAGATGGATGGATGGATTAATGGATAGATGGACAAATGGACAGGTGAACATACAGTCTTGGAGGGGACCAGTGTGGGGGTTTAGGCACTTAGTTCCAGATCATAGAGAAGGGAGAAGCTGCCTGGGCTCCTCACCCAGGTTGAGCCCAACCCCGACCAGCTGGGGCTCCTCCTCAGGCTTCTGCTGGCAGAATACTGGCTCCCCTTGTCACCTCGCCATTACCCACCACTCAAGGACCTGCATCAGGCTCTCGCCCAACTGCAGCCAGCCTCTGGGAAGCTGACCTTCATTCCTTAATCCTTCGTCTTTGCACGATCAGAGGCACCAGCCTGCAGAGAAACCTTCCTGGGCCATTAGGGACTCACCCCCTGTTCTGGTTCCCTACTGCCACTCTGACAAGAATATGCCACCAATGGGATGGCCTTAACAAACAGGCATGTATTCTCTCACAGTTTGGAGGCTTT